TCGTTGCACCTTGAAATTACAACGCAACAAAAAAGCTTCTTGGTTAGTGCCGTTGCGTGCGAGTATTCTCGAGTCCCCCTAGTGCCAGTAAGCTCGTGTAACGTTAAAAACATTCCAATTGAATATCGCTGCACCTTGAAATTACAACGCAACAAAAAGCTTCTTCGCCAGTGCCGTCGCGTGCGAGTATTCTCGAGTCCCACTAGTGCCAATAAGCTCGTGTAACGTTAAAAACATTCCAATTGAATATCGTTGCACCTTGAAATTACAACGCAACAAAGAAGCTTCTTGGCCAGTGCCGTTGCGTGCGAGTATTCTCGAGTGCCACTAGTGCCAGCAAGCTCGCGTAACGTTAAAATCATTCCAATTGAATATCGTTGCACCTTGAAATTACAACGCAACAAAAAAGCTTCTTGGTTAGTGCCGTTGCGTGCGAGTATACTCGAGTCCCACTAGTGCCAGCAAGCTCGCGTAACGTTAAAATCATTCCAATTGAATATCGTTGCACCTTGAAATTACAACGCAACAAAAAAGCTTCTTGGTTAGTGCCGTTGCGTGCGAGTATACTCGAGTCCCACTAGTGCCAGCAAGCTCGCGTAACGTTAAAATCATTCCAATTGAATATCGTTGCACCTTGAAATTACAACGCAACAAAAAAGCTTCTTGGTTAGTGCCGTTGCGTGCGAGTATTCTCGAGTCCCCCTAGTGCCAGTAAGCTCGTGTAACGTTAAAAACATTCCAATTGAATATCGCTGCACCTTGAAATTACAACGCAACAAAAAGCTTCTTCGCCAGTGCCGTCGCGTGCGAGTATTCTCGAGTCCCACTAGTGCCAATAAGCTCGTGTAACGTTAAAAACATTCCAATTGAATATCGTTGCACCTTGAAATTACAACGCAACAAAGAAGCTTCTTGGCCAGTGCCGTTGCGTGCGGGTATTCTCGAGTGCCACTAGTGCCAGCAAGCTCGCGTAACGTTAAAATCATTCCAATTGAATATCGTTGCACCTTGAAATTACAACGCAACAAAAAAGCTTCTTGGTTAGTGCCGTTGCGTGCGAGTATACTCGAGTCCCACTAGTGCCAGCAAGCTCGCGTAACGTTAAAATCATTCCAATTGAATATCGTTGCACCTTGAAATTACAACGCAACAAAGAAGCTTCTTGGCCAGTGCCGTTGCGTGCGGGTATTCTCGAGTCCCACTAGTGCCACTAAGCTTGCGTAACGTTAAAAACATTCCAACTGAATATCGCTGCACCTCTCTTTTGCTTGCTGAAGCACGCAAACAAATCCGGTGATATCGTTAATGTCTTATTCCTTCTTTTTGTTTCTGTGTGCATTGCTAAAATTAAATACAATGAACGCACAGATACTTAACATTTCTGAAAGAGAAATCCACATCGGAATACAAACTTAAATTTATAGTTTACGTGATTGTATATGAATTAAAATATAATTAGTGGATGCGCCATAACGACGAAACTGTTTTTTTTTTTTCTAGCTTTGTGCGAAAACAAAAATTAGAAACAAGTTCAAGCCCGATATTATAGCTCCTACAGATGAGGGCCTATACAAGATTAATGTATGCGCTCAATGCAACTAAACAAATCATGCACTAAAAGTGGATTCAAATAATCCCCTATATTTCACCTTTACTGAAACTCTATAAATACTCTACGTGTAATTTTTGTTTCATACAAGTGCGAAAGGGGTACGCGATTTATTAACTCTTTTTTGTATGAATTGCTATGTTGTTGGGCTTATTAATGTAAATTGGTGTTTGTATGTTTACACGGCCTGAACTTACTCTGCCTCAACAATCAACTTGTCTCTCAGCTGTAGATGAGCAATATAGCTAGTGCTGTAAAACCGCTAACCTTTGGTCATTAACGTGCACCACGCAGTCGTGATACACCACCACACGCCGGTATGATGCTCATGCACCTGACATAAAAGTAAGGAAGCGCGTGCTCGGCTGGGTGGCGAAAACAAAGAAGTTTCTTTTTTATAATAAATTCAACTATACACGATAGCAAGCGGGGCAACTGGCCGCCGCCATGCGCCTACTCGTGCGAGCAAGCCTGTGCTAGGGTGCCTCAATGTCCTTCTATTTAGAGTGATGCCACAGTTTGTAGTACCGGATGCCAACAGCCCGCGCTCACTCGAAGAAATACAAAGAAATCGTCGAAAGCAAAGTTTCGCCGCAGCACAGTCCGTGCCATGAGAGCGTGAAGGGACAAGCTCTCTCACGCGCCTCAGGAAAAAAAAGTAAACGTTTGGAAGAAAATGGCCAGATGTTATCTCCCTGAGCAAAGCGCGCATGAATGCACCCCAGCCTTTTCAGCAGACCGATCTCACCAGCCAGTTTGACTACGTCACCGGTGGCGCATTGCATCGAGGGAACTTTAGTCTTTCTGCAGGTGCGACCACCTCGCTGGAGCTCTGAGCGAGTGCAGCCCGAGATGGCACGAGTCCTCTCGTGCACTGCCGTTTGTCTCCTGTGAACCACGGTGTAAGATAATACTCTTCAGGTGAGGACAGCGCGCTCCTCGCGACGTGAAGATAAAGTTCGCTTTTCACTCTCTCTCTTTCTCTCTCCCACGTCTCGCGCTTCTTTGCACCTTTGCCGTTCACCTGAAGAATTGGGGGTTAAATGTGTAATTCACGTTTCAAGCAGCGGTTCTAAGCTAGACTTTGTTTATACTTTTTATGAACCGGAAATTCGCTGGGATCACAAGGACTGGAGTACTGCCTGGTAGCGTTTACCAAAGAAAAGTGTAGATAGAGCGTATTTACTCGGCGCCATATTTGAGGGCATAGTTTAGAGCGCATGCTCAGATTACTATGCTGCTAAGAGCGGTAATCTTTATGGTGCAGTATGCACGTTGCCAAAAGTGCTGTGGAAGCTCGCCGTCAGCACGCGCTCATTAGTCGCTCACACAGATATGTCCGCCAGTGAATGCTCTAGAGTGCCTCAATGTCCGTCTGTTTAGCATGATGCCATCGTTTGTAGTACCCGATGCCGACAGCACGCGCTTACAGGGAAAAAAATACAAACAAATCGCAGGAAACAAAACGTCGCTTTAGCACAGTCAGCACCACGAGCGCGTGCAGGGACACGCTCTTTCACGCGCTTCAGAACAAAACAAAAAGCGTTCGAAACAAAATGGCCAGATGTCATCACGCAAAGTACACTGTACACCAAGCAAAGCGCACATGAAGGCACCCTATACACCATATACAACGCTGTCAAAGCTACTGGAGCGAGCGCGTGGCTTCATACGTGTTTTCGTTTGCGCGAGAACGCGTGCAAATGATCTGCGAGGCCAAATCCCTTTCATGCTACCGCGGCTTTGACAAGGTTCTACACTAACTATAAAAAGGTATGGAAAGAACACTCGCAGAAACACTGCGTTTTAACATTATGCTTTTAGTAAATGAAGGGTTTCATATTTTTCTCTTTTCATTGCAAAGCCGGTAGAAATGGTTCCAGCGAAACTGGTATTTAGTCTGTTTAACTCTTTCAGCAGTCACAGTGCCAAATGTGATGGACATTTGGGCATTTTAGTTTAGCATTACCAATAGATAGCAGTAAAAGCGCTTGCCTATAGCGTGAGTCAAAACGGGTCGTTGGCTATTACACCTGTGCTGTTAAGGGCTTGGCTCCCCAGGATCGTGCCCCGTACCAAAAAAGTTCGACACAATACTCTGGTTGCCGCCGTCGCTCATAGATGGCGGCCACCTTTCCAGCCTTTCCAATTTGGCTTGCGGACTTGCGGACGGCCAATATTTCATTTTCACCAGAGTACAGCTTCGCTGGTCTTTCTTTTTAAGGGGACCGCATAAATTGGTCTCTGGGCGTATCAAGCTAAGATTTCGTAAAGAGGTGACCGAACAACGGGCATCAAGTGTATGTAAACTTCAATGAACAAGTTTACTTGGATGAAATGTTAGAAATCAAAAACTAGAAATCCCTACATAAGGCTTTCGTCCCTTAACGAAATCGACTAATAGGCGCTACAACAAACAGTTAGCAACGCAAGATAGCAAGCGGCACAACGAGCGCTTTCCTCGATCTCGGCAATACCAGACGACGTTTCTGAACCAGATATGATGCGATTTTTTTCTGTGCCAGTTTTCAGTGCGGGATTTTTTTATCATTAACAATAAAACACAAAAAAAAGAACATAGAACAAGAGAAATAAATATAAACATACCTGTGGCCTTGTTTTATCGATTATTATTTTCGGCGACACGCCGTCGTCTTCTTTGCAGTCACTGGTTCTTACCGCGTCGATTTTCTTGTCTGCAACTTTCATTTGTGCTGTTTTGGGTTGCAAGACATCTTTAAGGTGCCCAAATAGCGAGTGAAGTTTGTTTCCCTAGTACGAGGAGTGCCAGAGGACAAAATATCTTAACCGAAGTTTTCGGGCGGAGTTTTGGCGGCGACCTCCGAGGTTTCCGACAATCCTACAATGGGTGAGGCACCTCAACAATGAGGTAGGTCTTCGAAACATTATACCGACATCGATTGTGTCATACCCGAAGCTGACACTGCAAAATGCGGTACTTGGTGCCCTCGCCGCCGGCCCCCAGCTGTTGAAGCGGATAGCACTGCCGACCTCAGTCGCTTGTAGCGCCAATCAGACGTCTTTTAATAGAAGAAGAACAGCGTTAGTAGTAATTTCATGTTTTTTATTTGTATCTTATACTCAGGTAAGCATGTTCAGAGGACGTTTGGTACACTTAAAGCAGGTTCTACGGACCTCTCTGTACAAAGTCTTAGCTCGGTCCGTTAAGAAACCAATGTATGCGATCCCTTCATACATCCAAACATCTCCTTGACTCACGCTGTATGTACAAAAATCTCTGCTCAGTAAAAAAAAAACACCTAAGGTTTTAGTTGCATATATTGATCGCACAAAAAATACGAACCCCTTCAGAGAGCATTTTAGGTAAACGAAGTAAAAAAGACTTTGACAAGGGTTCGTGTTAACTTACCTTAGCGTTAACCCAGGGGAACGCCAATGCAAGGAGAAAAAGACCGATAAATGGCCCTGAAGTGCTGGTGAGCATAACCATAATAATCTGCGAGAGAATGCGAGACAAGTTAATATTATTTCCATGAAAAATTTAAGGTAACTATCACATGAAAAACTACTGACTTTATTACAAACGAAATAACCCAGCAACCCTATTTTTCAGTGGCGGGGAATCGAAGCCAGAAACGGCAGTTGCTTGCTGTGCTTATAGGTTTACGTTTGTGAATCCTAAATAGACGATTTTTAAAGCCCCATCAAAAAAAATTGACAACTTATATTTTTGGGGGGGAACGAAGCGTTTAATTGTATCCCAGAGATTGGCAACTACTGACGCAGAACTAGTCCTTGATACGAGTTTACCCGAGTTCACGTCGCACGCTGACGCTTCCATTGTGTCTGATACCTGCTCGGAGTGCTTGTCTAAACTATGACGAACGAATATTTGGCGCAGCAGCTTTCAGGCAGAGCGCACTTTAGAAAAGGGAGCTCTGAAAAACTTGCAATAGTGGTAACTAGTCCACTGCTAAATTACAACTGATGATAGTGAAAAGCAATATTTGTTCGAGGTTGGGTTCTCGTCAAGTAGATAAAAAAATTGTGTAAAAAAAGGTAGGTGGTGCAAGTACCACTGAAACTTGCAAGCCCCGAAACATCACAATTATCCCTTCACCATGGTGGCTGAAAAGGGCACAATTGTTTCAGACCTGTGTGCCCACTGTCTAGTATAACACACGCCTTCAAGGAACAAAACCGTATGACGATGATATTGTCAGATGTGGCAAGGACGACATTTAATGTTTTGATCGTTGATACGTGAATACTGAATTATTAGAGATATCCTTCTAGCCTTGCTGTTAACAGTGCCTGAGATTGGTGTAAAGTTCTTACTATTTACAACACCTTTCTTTATTGTCTCACAAATATTGCGTCCCAAGTCTCGAGCCTTGATCTAAACTGGACCGTAAACAACGACGCCTGCGCGTAGCTATCTCAAATTTTCCGCCAAAAGTGTATTTCACAGATCGGCTTTTTATCTGTAAAATTACAAAACGTAGCTTCCCTCCTCTAAAAAAGAATAGGGCCAGAGAATTCGCAAGAGTCAACGGCGGTCCTAAGGTGTAGCCGACCAGCGAAAGAAAGCAGACGACAGGCTGACGAAACATGTTGGCAGCAAAAACGCCACCGTTATGCAAACGCTTTTTTGTAAGCTTTGATTTTATTGTTTGCATTTATTTTTAAACCAGAGGTACATTACAAAGCAATTATGTTCATTTTAATAAACCACGGTGGTCGCGAGCAGTCTTGATAAAGACGTAGCACCATCTATCAATACGAGCGCCAAACACATTCCGCAACTCGACTTGGTCGTCTTCGTCGACGCCCGCCGTTGACCCTGGCAAGTTTCTTGGCCCTATCTTATACAGAAAGGGAACTACGCTTTGTAATTTTACAAGAAATAACTGAGCTGGAAATATACCTTTTGGCAAAACGTTTATATTGCTGCGCGCTGACGTCGATTTTTACATCCAATTTAGATCGCGCCTTGTGACCTGGGGCACCCTATATACTTTTTATTCCACACTGTAATACGCCCTTGTGCCATTAAGATCAATGATTAAATGATCACACAGCTTTACCGTTTTTTAGGTGCCTTAGGCTCTCTATGTAAATCTATTTACTGTTTTAATACCAATCTAAAAACAAAACAACTTAATTTTTTTTCACGCGCTAAGTGATCAAACTCTGAAACCAAAACTTACTCTCATTGCAGAACCCAGGTACGGAACAAGAACCGCCAAAATTGTCATCAAACTGCCAAATGCAAATGCTGAAAAAAAAATTGAAGTACATTGCCAAGGACATGGCATATTAAGGTGAGTGTAGTGCGACTCGCACATTGAAGGATTGGTGCTCTTACCTAAGGCTTTTGTGGTAATGATAGCGTATCTTTCATTGATGTGAATGTACGGCGTCAAGATGTCGACATAGCAAGTTGCAGCCAGCGAGTTAATAACAGAGGACACAGTGCTGTAAGTGTAGAAACAGTTAAGCGCACCCTCAGGAGTGGTGTCCTTGGTACTGGTAAAGCAAAAAACAGTCTTGCAAATAGTTCGCTTCTATCGGCAATCAAAACTACCTAAAAGAAAACTTGCGGGTAACCGACAACGCCTAACCCACTGCGGCGATGAAGGTATACTTCTTTATAACAAAAATAAAGTGGGCGATTGAGTAGGTTTTTATCGTTAAGTGAGATATCCTGAAATCGAACAAGTCATAAAATCACAAAGAAAAACAAGCGCCACACATATCTTTTACGCTACAGTTGCATCCTACTTAATGACGACTCGAGCAACGCTGGTCATGGACAACTGTGACAACGCTTGTTGCCTCTATTATTACCCAATCTTATACATAGATACAGAGGCATAACAGTCACAATAATACACACTTGGTAGATTTTTTTTTTCTTTGCAGTTTTAGTTTTTAAAAGAAAGTCGTCAACAACGTGCGGTATTCCCTTACGGACATCCGAAGACGTTCATGGTCCCCCCAGCACTTTGAAGGGTTCGATAGGGCGCGATTGTCCGTATTATTCGAAACGGCTGCTTCAGACGTCGGCGTCCCTTAGGGCGCGGAGTTACGCCGCTCAAGCGTCGTGCAAAAGACAGAGCCTGCAGACACGACGAGAAAGTTATGTGCAAACACGCCTCGAGTCATTTTGGAATCACGTTGGCTTCACAAACATCTCTGCTTTCAACATGTCTGCAGACAGTCTACTGTGTCACTAACGTCGTTTTATACTTAGTCTAGGTGGCGCAAGCTACCGCCCGTTACAAAAGGTATAGTCATTAACATCCATCCATTCGTTTATTCATGTCACAGGGCCTGCATACACGAGGATGGTACACGCACCAGACAGTGTCTGCAGACTCTCTTTTGTCTGACGCATTTTTAACGGTGTAACCGTGGCTTTAAAAAAATTCACGCTTAATCATAAGATGTTTCACGCCTTCTGGCTCGAGTCTACGGGTCCTGCTTGCATCACTCTACAACAATGTCCGTTCGTCTGATCTCTCACGGACCATTCGAAAAGTGAATCGCCGCAATGTATACGAGGAAAGACGGTGAATGACGCATAATGAGTTAGTACGTTTAGATATATAAAAGAGGAGGTCTCGGAATGGAAGACAGAGATTTTATCTCTAATCTTGATGCACTCCGGGACTCTTCATTCGCCGATCTCCCTCCTTAAATGCACTGCGGAAAAATATATATCCGCTAGGGTATTTGTGAAGAGCGTTTCTCGATAAAGACTGCATTCGGGGGCAGAGTTTATGGTGTATCGATGAATCCCGACTGATGTATATTTCTTGTAAACTGTATCCGAAAATCTAGAACACAGTAAAAGAATATTCAGGCAGATTTTTCAAGGCAGCTTTCACTGCTGTCTGGCTGCTTAAATGTGCGACTTTCACAATCAGTGCGGCATAAATGGTAAACGAAACTTTTATGATACAAGTGTCGTGAACGAAAATTATTTCTCACTTATTAGGGCGTACTGTGCACGTTGATTGTAATTACGCCATAACAATGCGGATTTAAAACCCTCTTTAGTGTAGCATTATGTATACAGAAAAACAAGAGGGATGGGGACATATACCTTAGAGTGGCACTGACGACACCAGTCAGAAAGAATCCAGAAAATCCAGGGAAACCAGACAGGCTTGTGTCCACGTAGTATGGGACCAACTGAGAAATCCGTAATGAGAAAATTTGTTTTTCGTATTTTTCGTAGCTTGTTCGTCTACTCTTATAATTTACTTTTTGTTTTTAAACAGTAACATAACTCCAGCAAAAAAAGAAAGAGGAAAGAACTGCGTGCGTGTATAACGCTGAAGAGAGATTTAGTTTTTTGCTCAGCAACCACAAATACACACCTCTCTCTCTCGTTGATTGTTTTTACACGACTGTCTATGTTCGCTAATCAAAAATAAATATGATTTGCCTAAACAATATTGACTTAATCCGCAGTGTGAAAGACCTGGTTCATTTGGAACTCTTCCTTGCATTAGATTTCATTTTCAGGAAAAGAATGCTGACGAAACGTATTTGTGTATTGCGCACAATGTTATTATAATTTAAACCATAATATTGACGCGTGTTTTCCTGCCAACCATTTGTTGACCTTCGCCGCCACCAAAATAGGGTTTCTTGAGCTGAACAGAAACCATAAATTGATGATATTTAAAGGCTATGCACGATGTTTTCATGAGTAGTTATTGTCGAATAGACAGAGGCATTTACAACATATTATAAAGGATTACGGTCTTATGCAGTTCCTCCACCTGGAGCACAGAGCTTTGTCGCTCATAAAGCTCTCAGCACCAATTAATCGCAAGATCCCTGGCCTATAGGTAGCTCCTGTCCTTATAGAACTAATGGTATAACATTGGTTCAGAACACAGCGATGCCGACGCTAACACGCTCTGTAACTCATGTGCTGCTGCTCTTCACGGTGTCGCCAAGTGCGTTGGATGGGGCGTGGCCTGTCTATCGTCATGGCCGCTGGAGCACGTTTCTGACTTAGATTCTACAACGCTGGGGGAAACTACCGTCTCATCTCAGCCGCGGCTCCGCCTTCAAGACCACCGCCTGATGGCGCACCGAGGAACGCTTCCGTTTCCGCCTTCAGGCTGTCTGCAAAAATACCTACTACCGGCGGAAGCCTCGGGGCACAACAAAGCGATGCCGACGCTAACTGTCTTCGTAACTCATGTGCTGCTGCTGCTCTTCACGGTGTCACCAAGTGCGTTGGATGGGGCGTGGCCTGTCTATCGTCATGGCCCCTGGAGCACGTTTTTGACTTAGATTGTACAACGCAAGGGGAAACTGCCGTCTCATCTCAGCCGCGGCTCCGCCGTCAAGACCACCGCCTGATGGCGCACCAAGGAACGCTTCCGTTTCCGCCTTCAGGGTGCCTACAAAAAGACCTACCACCGGCGGAAGCCTCGGGGCAGAACACAGCGATGCCGACGCTAACACTCTTCGTAACTCATGTGCTGCTGCTGCTCTTCACTGTGTCACCAAGTGCGTTGGATGGGGCGTGGCCTGTCTATCGTCATGGCCGCTGGAGCACGTTTTTGACTTACATTCTACAGCGCAAGGGGAAACTGCCGTCTCATCTCAGCCGCGGCTCCGCCTTCAAGACCACCGCCTGATGGCGCACCAAGGAACGCTTCCGTTTCCGCCTCCAGGCTGCCTACAAAAAGACCTACCACCGGCGGAAGCCTCGGGGCACAACACAGCGATGCCGACGCTAACACTCTTCGTAACTGATGTGCTGCTGTTGCTCTCCACGGTGTCACCAAGTGCGTTGGATGGGGCGTGGCCTGTCTATCGTCATGGCCGCTGGAGCACGTTTTTGACTTAGATTCTACAACGGAAAGGGAAACTGCCGTCTCATCTTAGCCGCGGCTCCGCCTTCAAGACCACCGCCTGATGGCGCACCGAGGAACGCTTCCGTTTCCGCCTTCAGGCTGCCTACAAAAAGACCTACCACCGGCGGAAGCCTCGGGGCACAACACAGCGATGCCGACGCTAACACTCTTCGTAACTGATGTGCTGCTGTTGCTCTCCACGGTGTCACCAAGTGCGTTGGATGGGGCGTGGCCTGTCTATCGTCATGGCCGCTGGAGCACGTTTTTGACTTAGATTCTACAACGGAAAGGGAAACTGCCGTCTCATCTTAGCCGCGGCTCCGCCTTCAAGACCACCGCCTGATGGCGCACCGAGGAACGCTTCCGTTTCCGCCTTCAGGCTGCCTACAAAAAGACCTACCACCGGCGGAAGCCTCGGGGCACAACACAGCGATGCCGACGCTAACACTCTTCGTAACTCATGTGCTGCTGCTGCTCTTCACTGTGTCACCAAGTGCGTTGGATGGGGCGTGGCCTGTCTATCGTCATGGCCGCTGGAGCACGTTTTTGACTTAGATTCTACAACGTAAGGCGAAACTTCCGTCTCATCTCAGCCGCGGCTCCGCCGTCAAGATTACCGCCTGATTGCGCACCAAGGAACGCTTCCGTTTCCGCCTTCAGGCTGCCTACAAAAAGACCTACCACCGGCGGAAGCCTCGGGGCAGAACACAGCGATGCCGACGCTAACACTCTTCGTAACTGATGTGCTGCTGTTGCTCTCCACGGTGTCACCAAGTGCGTTGGATGGGGCGTGGCCTGTCTATCGTCATGGCCGCTGGAGCACGTTTTTGACTTAGATTCTACAACGGAAAGGGAAACTGCCGTCTCATCTCAGCCGCGGCTCCGCCTTCAAGACCACCACCTGATGGCGCACCAAGGAACGCTTCCGTTTCCGCCTCCAGGCTGCCTACAAAAAGACCTACCACCGGCGGAAGCCTCGGGGCACAACACAGCGATGCCGACGCTAACACCCTTCGTAACTCATGTGCTGCTGCTGCTCTTCACTGTGTCACCAAGTGCGTTGGATGGGGCGTGGCCTGTCTATCGTCATGGCCGCTGGAGCACGTTTTAGACTTAGATTCTACAACGTAAGGGGAAACTGCCGCCTCATCTCAGCCGCGGCTCCGCCTTCAAGACCACCGCCTGATGGCGCACCGAGGAACGCTTCCGTTTCCGCCTTCAGGCTGCCTACAAAAAGACCTACCACCGGCGGAAGCCTCGGGGCACAACACAGCGATGCCGACGCTAACACTCTTCGTAACTCATGTGCTGCTGCTGCTCCTCGGTGCGCCACCTGATGGCGCACCAAGGAACGCTTCCGTTTCCGCCTTCAGGCTGCCTACAAAAAGACCTACCACCGGCGGAAGCCTCGGGGCAGAACACAGCGATGCCGACGCTAACACTCTTCGTAACTCATGTGCTGCTTTTGCTCTCCACGCTGTCACCAAGTGCGTTGGATGGGGCGTGGCCTGTCTATCGTCATGGCCGCTGGAGCACGTTTTTGACTTAGATTCTACAACGCAAGGGGAAACTGCCGCCTCATCTCAGCCGCGGTTCCGCCGTCAAGACCACCGCCTGATGGCGCACCGAGGAACGCTTCCGTTCCCGCCTTCAGGCTGCCTACAAAAAGACCTACCACCGGCGGAAGCCTCGGGGCAGAACACAGCGATGCCGACGCTAACACTCTTCGTAACTCATGTGCTGCTGTTGCTCTCCACGGTGTCACCAAGTGCGTTGGATGGGGCGTGGCCTGTCTATCGTCATGGCCGCTGGAGCACGTTTTTGACTTAGATTCTACAACGCAAGGGGAAACTGCCGCCTCATCTCAGCCGCGGCTCCGCCGTCAAGACCACCGCCTGATGGCGCACCAAGGAACGCTTCCGTTTCCGCCTTCAGGCTGCCTACAAAAAACCTCCCACCGGCGGAAGCCTCGGGGCAGAACAGAGCGATGCCGACGCTAACACTCTTCGTAACTCATGTGCTGCTGTTGCTCTCCACGGTGTCACCAAGTGCGTTGGATGGGGCGTGGCCTGTCTATCGTCATGGCCGCTGGAGCACGTTTTTGACTTAGATTCTAGAACGCAAGGCGAAACTGCCGCCTCATCTCAGCCGCGGCTCCACCGTCAAGACCACCACCTGGTGGCGCACCAAAGAACGCTTCCGTTTCCGCCTTCAGGCTGCCTACAAAAAGACCTACCACCGGCGGAAGCCTCGGGGCAGAACACAGCGATGCCGACGCTAACACTCTTCGTAACTCATCTGCTGCTGTTGCTCTCCACGGTGTCACCAAGTGCGTTGGATGGGGCGTGGCCTGTCTATCGTCATAGCCGCTGGAGCACGTTTTTGACTTAGATTGTACAACGCAAGGGGAAACTACCGTCTCATCTCAGCCGCGGCTCCGCCTTCAAGACCACCGCCTGTTGGCGCACCAAGGAACGCTTCCGTTTCCGCCTCCAGGCCGCCTACAAAAATACCTACCACCGGCGGAAGCCTCGGGGCACAACGCAGCGATGCCAACGCTAACACTCTTCGTAACTCATGTGCTGCTGCTGCTCTTCACGGTGTCACCAAGTGCGTTGGATGGGGCGTGGTCTGTCTATCGTCATGGCCGCTGGAGCACGTTTTTGACTTAGATTCTACAACGCAAGGGGAAACTGCCGTCTCATCTCAGCCGCGGCTCCGCCTTCAGGACCACCGCCTGATGGCGCACCGAGGAACGCGTCCGTTTCTGCCTTCAGGCTGCCTGCAAAAAGACCTACTACCGGCGGAAGCCTCGGGGCACAACGCAGCGATGCCGACGCTAACACTCTTCGTAACTCATGTGCTGCTGCTGCTCTTCACGGTGTCACCAAGTGCGTTGGATGGGGCGTGGTCTGTCCATCGTCATGGCCGCTGGAGCACGTTTTTGACTTAGATTCTACAACGCAAGGGGAAACTGCCGTCTCATCTCAGCCGCCGCTCCGCCTTCAAGACCACCGCCTGATGGCGCACCAAGGAACGCTTCCGTTTCCGCCTTCATTCTGCCCACAAAAAGACCTACCACCGGCGGAAGCCTCGGGGCACAACACTGCGATGCCGACGCTAACACGCTCCGTAACTCATGTGCTGCTGCTGCTCTTCACGGTTTCGCCAAGTGCGTTAGGTTGGGGTGTGGCCGTTCTATCGTCATGGCCCCTGGAGCACGTTTTTGACTTAGATCCTACAACGCAAGCGGAAGCTGCCGTCTCATCTCAGCCGGGGCTCCGCCTTCAAGACCACCGCCTGATGGCGCAC